GTAAGGCTTGGATAAGGGAGACGTTTATTGCTTCTGTTTATATGCTGTGTCTTCTATGGTGTAGGTGGTTTCTAACAAGGTGCTCTTGAGAGTCCTTAGCAGATGTCAAACACTCTTCTGCCTCCATAGCAGCCCAGGCCTCAAAAGCCATAGCCGGGGCCATAACCAAAGCCCCCAGATGAGACGGGCACTCCGTGGGCCCCGAGGAAGTTGGCCACGGCCAGGTAGCTGTGCTTGGAAAGAGACTTGATGAAGTGTGTGCTGCCATGGGGAGCGTGGGTCAGAGGTGTGGGTAGAAGTGCATTAGCATTTCCAAGGTTTATGGCAAGGGAAGAGCTGGTGTCTGGGCTGGAAGCCCACAGGAGGGTTTTGCAGGGGAATTAATACATTACTGTGGTCTGGTGGATCTTTTCCTCCAACTTGGTGGCCTATTGAGCCCTAGCTTGGTGCTGCTCGTGGTTGGTTGAGCACTGGGTGAGGCTTGGATGCAGGAGAAGTTTATTGATGAAGAAAATGGTGAAAAGGCAGGAGAGCCAAGGGAAACAGTGTAACGTAAAAGTAGGGCAACCATCAGCTGGGTCCCCTGTGTGTAGCAGGTGTTGCCTGAATCCTGAGGTTTTTGTGTCCCACAGAGGGAGCAGTACACTAGAGATTCCCAGTGAGGTTTAGGCTGTGAGATAGTGTTTGAAGTGGACTAAATCAGAATGAGAAGTGAAGAGAAGGAATTTGGAGAGTAGGTATCTCACCCTGCATCCAGGGGTGGAATGGACACTCTACTAATCCCTGGTGAGCATCAGCTGGAGTTCTGGGTTGAATTTTGGGCTCTGCAGTAGAAGAGAGACATGGAGCTCCTGGAGCAAGTTGTGGTGCCTGGGAGCAGTTCCAGTAGGCTGGGGGAGAACTCATGCCCCTCGTTGTCAAGAAGATCTGGAGGTACATTCTTAGAAAGTAGAGGTTGTTGAGCCTGACCTCACTCCCACAGAAGGCGATGGAAGAAACCTTCCTGGAGAGCAGTGCCATGCCCTGCAAGGTCAGGGTGACAGGCTGTGGTTTAGGTGTGGATTTTGAGAGTGGAAATTGTCCTTGACCGAACTCTGTGTCTTCCTCATTGAAGGCGCTGGGTGTTGGCAGAGGTTAGAGCAGTGTCTATTGCTGAGCTGTCCTTGAAGGAAGCCTTTGTCACTGTCTCCCATTACATGCTCCTTGTAAGCAGAGAAAGTCTGGGTTGTGAAAGAGCCCTGTGAGGAGGACTGCAAAGTGGCTGAAGGGCTGGCCCCAGAGGCTTGTGGTTAGTGGCAAGACAAGAGGCTGTGGGCACAAGGGAAAAAAAGGTGAAATTCCATGGGCAAAGAAGGAAATTCTTTTTTAGTGTAAGGAAAGTCAATGAGTGGAAGAGGCTGTGAATTCTCCAAGGTGGAAGCTACTGACAACCCAACTGTCCATGTCTAAGAAAAGTTTCTGTAGTGGACATTCTAGCTACCAACTCTGAGTTAGTCAAGTGTGTGCTGGTAGTCAAGGTATGCAGAGGGGAGTGTTATCACATCAAATCATTTTTTTGAGCCAGTGGATGGGCATGTGTCATATTCTCGAAGGCCTCCACCTGCCACTGTGTATTGTTGTTGGGTGTCCTGGCATTTATCCTAGGAGATGAGTAGTGGCCCTTTTCCACCAAACCTAGTGGCCTGTAGAGACCTGACTTTTGATTGGTGAAGGTGGATGATCCTTGGTAAAAGAAAGGAAGAGGAGGCTTCTCAGGCTGGGATGCAGGAAGACTTTATTGAGGAAAAAGGGTTGAGAAGTCAGAATCACCAAGTGGAAGAAAGAGGATCTGATGTGCAAATAGAGTGACCATCTGTCAAGGTCTTCTGCTTGCAGAAGACTATGCCAGAGTTTCAAGGCCTTCCTACTTTGCAGAAGGAGCAGATCCCTGAAGTTTCCCCCAGTGTTTTCTGCCCTTTGAGATGTTTTTAATAGCAGAAAGTACTGAACATCACCAAAGGAATGATGCACAGGAAGAAGTGTAAAAAGAGGAGGATCTATGCGATATGATGCAAAGAGGCAGGTCTGGCCCCCAGCCCTGCTTCCTCTCCTGGTGCCTTGAGATTAGAAGCTGTTGTGGGCAGGTCCACTCATCAAAACCAGCAGAGACATGCATCTTCAGTCCATGTCTTTGCTTCTCGAATGTATGTGAGTGGTTTCATGTGTGCTGTCAATGGCCCTTAGCAGATGTTGCAGCCTCTTCCCCTTCCGTAGCAGCCCAGGCCTCCGAAGCCGTAGCCAAGGCCGTAGCCGAAGCCCCCAGAGGAGACGGGCACTCCCTGGGCGCTGAGGACGTTGCCCACGGCAGCGGATGAGGAGGATCCGACGGCGGTGCTCTGGGGGAAGGAGCTGAGGATGGGTCCTGGCAGGGTGACCAGCACGGCGGGAGGCTGGATGACGACGCGGGAGTCCTCGCACTGCCTGACACAGGGCTCGTTGCAGCTGTTGGCCAGCGGGGTGGGTCCGCAGGGGCGGCAGAGGTCGTAGCAGGCCATGTCTGTGGTGTGGAGGGGCCCTGGCAGGGGAGAGGAGAGAATGGAAGAGAGGGTGTGGGGAGAGCGGAGGGCGTGGGGGTGCGAGGGGCGGTGGTGCAGGAGGGCGAGGCAGTGGGGAGGCTGGAGTGGGGCTGTGGGGCTGGGGAGGCGTGAGGGGTGCTGAGGCTGGGGCAGAGCGTGCTGGAAGAGCTGGGGCAGGGGGGCAGGAGCAGAGGGCAAGGGGCTTGAGGCTCACCTTGTTGAGCGCGCAGGAGAAGGCGTCAGCAGAGGCGAGTGAGGGACAGAGGCTCTGGGCCGGCTTTTATGTTGGTCCTGGAGTGCCTGAGGGGGCTGAGACAGTGTTTGTGCATGACAGCATGTTTGTGTAAGCAGCTGGTGCATGTCAGATCCTCACAAGCAATTAGTTGTGGTTGTGTTTTCCTTCCAAGAATTCTGGAAGTTCATGTCCTCCTGTTGAGGACGTGTCCTTCAGGCTCTGGCAGCAGCTTTCAAGTATTAGAGACCAAAGGCTTGGTGTTGATGGTGCATGTCAGGGCGTTTGGCAGAACATGCAACAAAAGTATTGGAGTGATGGGGGTGTCATCATTGATGTCATCCAGTGGCACTCATGGCTGTGGTTTGTGGCTGGGTTGTGAAGAGGGGGCCCCATGTCCTTGCAGCCCTGGGGCTGTGCTGGCTCTGAGAGGCTGCCCCTTCCATTGCATTAGGTTCCGCCCTGACTTGCTGCCAGATCACTAATCCTGTCTGTAGGCCTGTCCTTTCCTGTTGGGTGAGCTCTAAGGGTGTCATGGTGCCTTTTTATGCTTGTAAGGTTGTACTTGTGATGGGTTCACCTCAGAAGGTTCTGTTAAAAGTTGCAAGAAGCTTCCCCCATGTCTCAAAGAGCCTGTTTGAAAAACACGCGTTGAGTAAGTTCATGGAATGCTGTTTCTCTTGGGAGTCCAAGATGGAGAAAAGAAAGAGTGTGAGGACCAAAGGGGATTAGCAACAATGTGTGTTGAACTGACTACAACCCCCATTTCAAATCCACATTTGCAGGTTTGGGGAAAGGAATATGTAATTCATGAGGGAAGGAGAACCTTGAAGAAGGTTTGGGGAAGGTGTTTCAAGATTTGGTTTTATTTCTCTTAATTCTACTCTGACTTTTTGAAAATTAATTTAACTTTGATAAATTAAATTAATTTCCCCAGCGCAGTCTGTTTTGCTATCACTGGAGTGATCTCCTGCCTGTGAGTGATCTCCATGTCCTTATCTTAGTTCGGGAGCCTTTTGTCGTATTCCTGTCCCCATGTCCACTTCACGAAGAGGAGTGATAGAGCAGCTCGGTGAGCACATGGTGCCCAACCAAAGTCTACCAACCACAGAGCCCCATCTTTGCCGCAGAGCTGGTCACAGACTTGGTCCTGCACTTGTCCACAGTGCGTCGTGCAGAGACCCATTGAGCCAAGGTGAGGAGGACTGTGACCTCATACTGGTGTTTTCTGTGTGACCTCAGAGCAGAGGGATGGTGGCTTGGGGTCCCCTGCAGAGGTGGTCCAGAGACTTTGCAGGAGGGAGTATGATGGTCAGGAGACCTTCTGCGTGGGTCAGTGTTGGAGCCTGCAGGGAAGAGGGGCTGGTGGTTGGGGAACCTCCAAGGCAGCATCTGTGGACCCCACAGCAAGGTGAGACCATGGCCTGGGTCATTCCAGCAAGTGGGGACCAGGCCATGAGTTCCTGTGTGGGTGGCCCTGGGACTCCACGTGAAAGATCTCATGAGTTTATGGTGACTCCGTCAGAGGCGTTCTCATGGGAGGGTTGCCATGTTCAAGACTGTCTTTGAGCCAGCACTTGCTCAAACCTCTGTCACCTTGTGAAAGCAACCCAGGTGCCAGTGTTTGTTGGTTGTGGTGGTATATTTCCCAGGAGAATTTTGGTGGCCTTTTTCAATCACACTGACGGCGTGTTGAGCCCTGACTTTGTGCTGCATGAAGTTGGAAGAGCCATGGTAGAAGAATGGGGAAGAGGTGTCAGAGGTTGGGATGCAGAACTTTATTGAGACAAAAGCATGAAGATATACAAGCATAAGGAGGAAGAGAGGTGAGGTGCAAGTATGGTGACCATGCACTGAGGTCTTCTGTATGCAGTAGATTCTGTCAGAGCAGTGAGGTCTTTCAGTCTTGACTGGGGAGAAACCCACTGAAGGTCCCCCGCTGCTGATTAGCCTGTAAGATGCTGGTGGGGCACACAGTACTGCACACAGCAGATGGGGTGGTGCGGAGAAGGAATTTGGAGAAGAGGAAGACATCCATGGGCCATGTTACCAGGCAGCCTGGTCGGGCCCCTTCCCTGCTTGCTCTGTGCCCCAAGGGAAGGAGCTGCGGAAGCTGAACTGCTGTGCCAGCATTACCCCAGACGTGCATCCTCAGTCCATGTCTTTGCTTCTTGAATGTATGTGAGTGGTTTCAGGCGTGTTGTCAAGGGCCCTTAGCAGATGTTGTATCCCCTTCCTCTGCCGTAGCAGCCCAGACCTCCGAAGCCGTAGCCAAGGCCGTAGCCGAAGCCCCCAGAGGAGACGGGCACTCCCTGGGCGCTGAGGACGTTGCCCACGGCAGCGGATGAGGAGGATCCGACGGCGGTGCTCTGGGGGAAGGAGCTGAGGATGGGTCCTGGCAGGGTGACCAGCACGGTGGAAGGCTGGATGACGACGCGGGAGTCCTCGCACTGCCTGACACAGGGCTCGTTGCAGCTGTTGGCCAGCGGGGTGGGTCCGCAGGGGCGGCAGAGGTCGTAGCAGGCCATGTCTGTGGTGTGGAGGGGCCCTGGCAGGGGAGAGGAGAGGAGAGGAGAGGAGAGGAGAGGAGAGGAGAGGAGAGGAGAGGAGAGGAGAGGAGAGGAGAGGAGAGAATGGAAGAGAGGGTGTGGGGAGAGCGGCGTGTGTGGGGGTGCGAGGGGTTGTGGTGCGGGAGGGCGAGGCATTGGGGAGGCTGGTGTGGGGCTGTGGGGCTGGGGAGGTGTGAGGGGTGCTGAGGCTGGGGCAGAGCGTGCTGGAAGAGCCGGGGCAGGGGGGCAGGAGCAGAGGGCAAGGGGCTTGAGGCTCACCTTGTTGAGCGCGCAGGAGAAGGCGTCAGCAGAGGCGAGTGAGGGACAGAGGCTCTGGGCCGGCTTTTATGCTGGTCCCTGAGAGGCGGGACAGCCTTTGCGCATGGCAGCATTTGTCAGCAAGCAGCTGGTGCGTGCCACAGCCTGGCAAGTCATGAGCTGTGTTTGTGTTTTCCTTCCCAGAACACTCCCTTTGCATGTCCTCCTGCTGAGGACGTGTCCATCTGGCCCTGGCGGCCGCTTTGAAGTGTAATAATTTAAGGCCAAATACTTCGTGTTTGTGCTGCTTTTTGGGACACTTGGCAGAAGTTGCAACCAAAGTGCTTGAGAGGTGGGGTGGTGTGAGTGAGGTCATCCTGTGGCACTCATTAGGTGTGGTTTGCAAGTGCGTTGTGAAGTGGGGGCCCCATGTCATCACAGCCCTGTCAGGCTGGACTGGGCTTTAGAGCTGTGGTGGCTGTGAGGGGCTGCCCCTTCAATCGCATTCAGTCCCTCCCCATCTTGCTGCCAGCTTGATAAGCCTGTCTTCAGGCCTGTCCTTTCCTGTTGGGTGAGCTCTGTGGGTGTCCTGGGTCCCAGTTGTTCTTCTAAGGTTGCCAGCTGATGTACTGGGTTTATGGAGTTAACTTAAGTTTATTTAAGTTATTATGTATTTAACTTTATTCAGAGGAAGGAGTGGCAGAAGCAACAAGTGTTGAAATGATCATAATGCTTTTTCTCCATCCCCCTTTGTCATTCTGGGAGAGGGAGTATGTATTTCAGGAGGGGAGCTTAACCTGCAGTAGGGGAGGGCTGGGAGAATCTGTTTAAAAAATTTCTTTTTTTTTTTGTTTTTCTCATAATTCTACTCTGTCTTTTGATTTTGATAAATGAATTTCCCCAAGCAAAGTCTGTTCTGGTGGCACAGGAAAACAGTGAGTGATCTCCATGTGGTTACCTCAACTCGGGAGCCTTTTGTCGTATTCTTCTTCTACATAGTAGAGGAAATGATAGAGCAGCTCAGTGAGGACTTTTCACCCAGCCAAGGTTAACCCAGCACAGAGCCCCACGTTTGCAGCAGAGCTGGGTCACAGGCTTATAGAATAGAAAAGATCATAGAAGAGTTTGTGTTGGAAAGGACCTTAAGATCATCTAGTTCCACTCCCCCTGCCATGGGCAGGGACACCTCACACTAAACCATGTCACCCAAGGCTCTGTCCAACCCGGCCTTGAGCATTTCCAGGGATGGAGCATTCACAACTTCCTTGGGCAACCCATTCCAGTGCCTCACCATCCTAACAGTAAAAAATTTCCTTCTTATATCCAATCTAAACTTCCCCTGTCTAAGTTCTAACCCGTTACCCTTGTCCTATCACTACAAACCCTAATGAAGAGTCCCTCCCCGACACCCTTATAGGCTACCTTCAGACACTTGAAGCTGCTCTGAGGTCCCTACACAGCCTTCTCTTCTCCAGGCTGAACAGCCCCAATGTTCCCAGCCTATCTTCAGACAGGAGGTGCTTCACTCCCTGATCATCCTTGTGGCCTCATCTGGGCTTATTCCAACAGTTCCATGTCCTTTTTATGTTGAGGACACCAGAACTGCACACAATACTCCAGGTGAGGTCTCACAAGAGCAGTGTGGAGGGGAGGATCACCCCCTTCAACCTGCTGGTCACGCTCCTTTTGATGCAGCCCAGGATACGGTTGCTTTCTGGGCTGCAAGCGCACACTGAAGCCGGCTCATGTTCATTTTCTCATCAACCAACACCCCCAAGTCCTTCTCCTCAGGGCTGCTCTGAATCTCTTCTCTGCCCAACCTGTAGCTGTGCCTGGGATTGCTCTGACCCAGGTGTAGGACCTTGCACTTGGCTTGGTTAAACCTCATGAGGTTGGCATCAGCCCACCTCACAAGCGCGTCAAGGTCCTTCTGGATGGCATTCCTTCCCTTCAGGGTATCAACTGAGTGGTCCATCCATCAAATTGATGTCGCTCCAATTTAGAGACAAGGATGTCATGTGGGACAGTGTTGAACGCTTCACACAAGTCCAGGTAGATGACATCAACTGCTCTACCCCTGTCCATCAGTTCTGTAGCCCCATCATAGAGGGCCACCAAATTGGTCAGGCAGGATTTCCCCTTAGTGAAGCCATACTGGCTGTCACCAAGCACCTTGTTGATTTTCACGTGCATTAGCATGCCATCCAGGAGAATCTGCTCCAAGATTTTGCCAGGCACAGAGGTGAGACTGACTGCTCTGTACTTCCCCAGGTCATCCGTTTTCCCCTTCTTGAAAATGGGGGTTATATTTCCCTTTTTCCAGTCATTGGGAACTTCACCTTATTGCCATGATTTTTCATATATGATGGCCAGCGGCTTACCAACTTCATTCCCCAGCTCCTTCAGGACCCACGGATGGATCTCATCAGGATCCATGGACTTGTGCACATTTATATTTTAAGATGGTTTTGAACCAGTTCCTCTCCTGCCGTGGGCCCAAGGTCTTCATTCTCAGTCCCTGCCTCTGCCTTCCAAGACTTGGGTGGTGCGGTCAGAGCCTTTGGCAGTGAAGACCAAGGCAAAGAAGTCATTCAGAACTTCAGCCTTCTCCAAATCCTGTGTAGCCAGTTCTCCTGAGAGCTTCCTGAGGGGGCCGATGTTGTCCCTAGTCTGTTTTTTGTTTGCTACGTACATGTAGAATCTCTTCCTGTTATCCTCAACATCCCTATCCAAGTTTAATTCTATGTTTAATTCTAAGTTTATTTAGTTCCATGTTTAATTCTAAGTTTATTCACTATGACCCTTTCAGCCCTGCTCTTGAGGAGTTCTTTATCCAATGTATGGTGTACCTGCTCATGTCACATTTGAACAACTTGTCCAGGAGGATGTTGTGAAGGACAAGAGTTCAACCAGGGCAGATGCCAAGTCTTGTTTGTGGGGAGAAGTGACCCCGTGTAGCATGAATATCTGTGAGACCAATGGGTTAGAAACAGTCTTAGGAGAGAATGACGTTGTGGTCTGTTGTAGAGCAAAGGGACCATGAGACGGCAATGTACCCTTGCAAGAAAAGGGCCCACGAGTCTCCAGGGCTGCATTCAGGGGTTTTGCAGTGCGTAAGGGGAGGGCAGCATCCCCTACTCATCAGAAATGGTGAGGAGAATCCCATGTGGGATTCATTTCTTGGCTCCCCAGTGAGGAAGGACTTGGACTTTTGGAGCAGGAGCAGTGCAGGGTCACCAAGAGACTGGAGGGTCTGGATCATAAGAGGCTGAGAAGTGAACCACCCCAGAGAGAAGGATGTGCAGGGTGCCCATCATCAATGGGAATAAAGCCGCTGATAGCAGGGAAAGAAGTGGTGGGAACCCAGCTCTTGTCACTGGTGTGCACATGCAGAAGAAGAGGCTGTGGGTATAAGGGGAAAGAGATGGGATTTCATGGGCAAACCAGGCAAGCCGTTTGCCTGTGTGGAAGGGCAAAGAGTGGAAGAGGTGGTGGAGTGTCTGTGCTGTGAGCTACTGAAAACCCAACTGGCCATGGTCTCACACCTGCAGCTCTAGTTGTCCTGTTCATGAAAAGGGATTAAGTCAGCTCCTCTGGAAAGGTTCCTGCTGTTGAAAGTGATTCTGAGGAGACTCGGGCTGGGATGCTGGAAACTTTATTGAGACAAAAGAATGAAAATGTAAGAGCAGCAAAAGCACCAAGTGGAAGTGAGACAGTCAGAGGTACAAGGAGTGCGACCATGAGCTTCTGCTTGCAGTTCTTCCTGCTGCTGAGGACGCTGCCCACGGCAGCGGATGAGGAGGATCCGATGGCGGTGCTCTGGGGGAAGGAGCTGAGGATGGGTCCTGGCAGGGTGACCAGCACGGTGGAAGGCTGGATGACGACGCGGGAGTCCTCGCACTGCCTGACACAGGGCTCGTTGCAGCTGTTGGCCAGCGGGGTGGGTCCGCAGGGGCGGCAGAGGTCGTAGCAGGCCATGTCTGTGGTGTGGAGGGGCCCTGGCAGGGGAGAGGAGAGAATGGAAGAGAGGGTGTGGGGAGAGCGGAGGGCATGGGGATGCGAGGGGCGGTGGTGCAGGAGGGCGAGGCAGTGGGGAGGCTGGTGTGGGGCTGTGGTGCTGGGGAGGCGTGAGGGGTGCTGAGGCTGGGGCAGAGCGTGCTGGAAGAGCCGGGGCAGGGGGCAGGAGCAGAGGGCAAGGGGCTTGAGGCTCACCTTGTTGAGCGCGCAGGAGAAGTCGTCAGCAGAAGCGAGTGAGGGACAGAGGCTCTGGTCCGGCTTTTATGCTGGTCCTGCAGTGCCCGATGGGGCTGAGACAGCCTTTGTGCATGACAGCATGTTTGTGCAAGCAGCTGGTGCATGTCAGATCCTCGCAGGTAATTACCTGTGCTTGTGTTTTCCTTCCAAGAATTCTGGAAGTTCATGTCCTCCTGTTGAGGACGTGTCCTTCTGGCCCTGGCGGCAGCTTTCAAGTATTGGAGACCAAAGGCTTGGTGTTGATGGTGCATGTCAGGGCATTTGGCAGAACATGCAGCAAAAGCATTGGAGCGCTGGGGGTGTCATCATTGATTTCACCCTGTGGCACTCGTGTCTGTGGTTTGTGGGTTTCTTGCAGTGCTTCCTGATGCCTGAAATAGAGCTCATCCCTTTGTATCAGTGAGAAAATCAGGAGAGTGGATGGCACACTAATGGCTGGTCAGCCTGATCTGTGCCCAGTGTTAGGCTCCATTTATGTTTCTCAGATT